CGTGTAATTAAATACATGTGATACAGTTTCAACTGTGTATTTACAGTTTCAACTTTGTATGTATTTGGAGGGTGGCCTCCCTCGGGCTTCACCATTTGTGAAGAAACAAAAAAGGGCTGATGCCCCCATCCTTAATAAATCAACATCTACACAGAACACTGGGGCAGGGTAAAGCGCGTTGGGACAGGTCTCTTGAGGCCGTGTTTGTAAGTACTTCCATAGATGGCCATCTCTTCCAAGTCTCAACGCTAAAGAGCTCTAATGAACTATTACGTACCATCCCCTGAGGGATGCTTTCCATCAGAACCTCTACCTCCAATTTATGGCTACAACCCCGATCCTCCCTCTCATGACCACCAAACTGGACCACCACAACATTTTCCCCAATTTGATCACGGGTTTGAACCGTTTGATCACATGTCTGGTCCAATGCCGCAAACGCCCTTTATTTTCCACGGATCTTCAGATGGAAATTTTGGAGGATTCCCTCAAAGTCATCACATCAGCACTCCCCCTGCATCAGCAATTGCCCACGGAAATTCTGCCGTCCAAGATCAGCCTCATTACCCCAATCAACCACCGCCTAACCAGCCCGGTAGCATGAATACTCAGCCAACGACTTATACGTCCCCATCACCTGTCCTAGTCAAAGGTAAAAGAGGACGCAAGCCAAAGGCCAATAAGACCAATTCAGCAGTGCAGGATACCGCCACGTTAAAATCTCCTAATTGCACGCCGACCAACTCAAAAGACAATTTTCACCGCCACTGGGCAAGACATAAGAATTTGAATGGTGAATCGGCTAGCGATATCTTAATCCAATGGGTCCTCATCCCCGGTAATTACAACAGATGGCGCGAAAAGGGTTCCAAGAAGAATGTGATAGGCGAAGATATCTCGCAATTCTTGATTCAAAATGGAATCTTTGGGCGCGATGGAAATTCAGTGGTTCAACAAGTTTGTCACTATCGTATTGGAAGTAGCGAAACGTGTATACTAATGTAGTTTCAAAATTTAGATGCACTCGTTAGAGGATAGGTATCGAGAAGCTCTAGAGAGGACCAAGCAAACTGGCGGGGGACTAATTGGAATCTCAGGAGAGAAATCATTCTCCGGTATGTATATCTTGTTGAATTTGAACCGATACTGTGGCTCACATCTTGTATATATAGACCAAATCGAGGGGATATGCCCATCATTCTACGAACTGGACCAAATCATGGGTGATCGACCATCAGCCATGCCCTTTGATGAGATAGACCTCGTGGACGACGTAAACGAGAATGATATCCGCGATGCTTTCCAGCTCCGTACAGCCAATCAAGACGTCTTAGATGTGGAACAAAACATCAACAACCCAGATTTTAGTGACCTCTTTGACCCATCTGATACCAATGATGATTCATTCAACCTACCAGCCCCTCTACAACGCGATAACCTGATGGCGGCCATCCAAAATGCAGATCAACCAAAAGTCACCCAATCCCCGAAGCATCGCCGCGAGTCTACCAATAGCATCAAAGAAGATTCCTTCGATTCACACAGCGACGTTATAGTCAAAAAGCGACGGCCATCAGGCTCTTTTTTAAAATCAATTGGCTTTAGGGCTCAATCGCCAAGCAAGTCTGTACTCAAGATCAACACATCTGAAGCACGTGAAAAGGCGGATGAAAATTATGAACAACGCGAACGAGCTATTCAAGCTCATTCCAAGACGGCTATTGGAACACTTAAGATTGGCCAAGAGATGTCTAGTTCAATGAAAACTATCTCATCTGCCATCACGAATTTGGCAAACCCCAAACCCCCACCACGTGACAAAATCGCCAAGAAGCGCGAGAAGATGCAGTTGCGCCGTGAGAAGTGGGAGCTTCAGTTGTTAATTCACAAGCAGAAATCTGAGAATGATTATCGTGATCTTGAGCTAACTACTAAGACTATACGTGAATTGATGGAGACGGGAATGTCCTCCACAGAATCTACCAACTTGGCAGAGCGTCTGATTGAAAACCAAAAACAAAGTAAGTCAACCTTTGTCTTGAATTGGATTGAGATCACTGATTGATCTGTGACTTTTTTGAACATCGGTCAGAGTCTAGACCCGATTTAGATGCTTTAATGGATTATGACAGCAACGACAGTGATAGTGATTGAGCCGAGGAGCTTGTCAGCTTGTCATGTACAATCCCCGACTTCTAAGCAAAATCAAAAATTTGCTAACGAGTATTTTCCTTTCAATATAAACGTATTCGATTATCCTTAAACGATCAATTCTATGACTACTGAAATATGATGTTATGAAAAATTTTATCTTGTGTGCTTTGATGGTTGTACCTCTCCTTTTTTCTCGTGATAAGGTTGGATTTGTGGGTCTCAAATACCAGCAAAAACATGATTGTATCATCTCTCAAAAATGAAGTAATGAAATTACCAATGCTACGCTCAAATATAAAACCTTGCATTTATAATCGATCATGTTTTGATGTTGAAAACCAAATGATTTCAAAATCGATCGCTTATTTAGCAAATATGAGTAACTCTGTTCGAGTTACTTCACCAGGTAGATAGTGACATTGATCCACAACCAAGGATGAAAAAGCAAACAAAATCATTGATTTCTTTTCATTGATATGTAATTACAATTAATAACAACTAATGATACAATTGTTGGAATTGAGTGAATAGAGCTGCACGAGTGTCATCTGAT